GTTCCCGCGGGCGTTTCTTCAGCGCCCGGTACTCCCGGATCTTCTTGGCCATGGCGGCGATGGGGCGGTACAGCTTCTTGCGGGCCATGGCGCCAGCCGAGCACCCCGCCGGGGCCGGGACCCGCACCGAGACCGAGGAGGAGACGCCGCCGCGCCGCTTCCCGCCCGCCCGGAAACGGCCCCGCCCCCGGAACGGGACGGGACGGGACGGGACCGGACAGGGAAGGAGCGGTGCCCCCCACTCGGAAAGGAGCGGCAGAGATACATTTATTGATCTATTTCTTGATACAAACCAGCGATTTTACTAAGTTCGGTAGTAAATGGGACGGCGGTTCGGCAAGGCCCGAGGGCAAAGGGGCGCCGGGTCGTTCCTGGTGCTGAGGACAGACCGGAGCCGGCGCGGAGCCCCTCCCGCCGAGCCGAGGTGCAGAGAGGAGCCCTTTGCCCCCCAAAAACCTCCCCGGAGGAGTCTGGATCCAGTCCTGGTCCCAGATTTGGTCAGCGGTTTATGTCTGAAGGATTACACATGCACAATCCATCCTTTATATCACTTAGCAAAGATTTCACAGTTTAGCATGCTGTTAACTGCTGACCAAAGACCTGGTGTGGGAGGTAACCTCTGAACCTCGAGGAGTAACCTCAAGCGTCGTCCCTGCCCAGGGGAAATCCTGGCATGCAGGCGCTGCTGTGCAGGAGAGCTCCAAGGGCTCTTGGGCTGGTCAGTAGTTACAGGGGTGAGACCTTAGAATCACAGGCTGGAAGGGACCTCAAAGCTCATCCAGTTCCCCCCCCTGCCCTGGGCAGGGACCCCTCCCACCAGCCCAGGTTGCTCCAAGCCCCGTCCAACCTGGCCTTGAACACCTCCAGGGATGGGGCAGCCACAGCTTCTCGGGGCAACCTGCCCCAGGGGCTCACCTCCCTCAGAGTGAAAAATTTCTTCCTGATACCTACCCTAAATCTCCCATCTTCCAGTTTGCAGCCATTATCTGTCATACTATCCCTACATGCCCTTGTAAAAAGTCCCTCCCCAGCTTTCTGGTAGGTCCCCTTTAGGGACTGGAAGGCTGCTATAAGGTCTCCCCAGAACCGTCTCTTCTCCAGGCTGAACATCCCCAACTTTCTTAGTCTGTCCTCACAGCAGAGGTCCTCCACCCTCTGATCATCTTTGTGGCCTTCTTTGGACCCGCTCCAACAGGTCTGTCCTTCCATGTCCATTCTTTATATCTCATTAGCAGAGACTTCACAGTTTAGCATGCTATAAACCACTTTCTGAGGATCTGTTGTGGCCAGGAATCTGAATCTTGAGGAGTAACCGCACGTGGTGTCCCTGTCCAGGGGAGATCCTGGTGTGCAGCCCACTGCCATGAAGGAGAGCTCCAAGGGCTCTTGGGCTGGTCAATAGTTATGGGGTGAGATGACTGACCTATAGTCATGTTTGCGTATTGACCACAGCACCAGCATTGTGGTGAAGTGGGCACACTGCTCCAGTCAGCCCTTGACTGTTGTGTTGTTACCTCTCTCTCCGAAACCACCTTCAAGCCGGACACAGCCATCACAAACAGACACACCCCTGGTGACCACCACAGGTGGTCATCGCTTGGGCAGGGTCACAGGAGATGAAGGCCAGGTTGGGGCAGGGGGAGCACAGTGTCACATCAGGGCAGTTTGAGCAACCCCTCACCCCGCAGGGCCCCAGGCAGAGAGCGGTGCGGCCGCTCTTGAAACAACCCCCCCTTGCCAGCAGCCTGGATGTACAAAGCAGAGACCAGCATAGGTCTGGCTACCTTAGCCCTGGGTTTTGGCTACAGACTGGTAAATTAAACCTGTCAGGAGAAAGATTTTTTTTCGTTTTTAAACCTATATGTTATGTTAAAGGAAAGGCATCCATCCCAGTATTGCTGTGGAGTCTTTTACTGAAAGCATTCAGGCACACAGAGACTGGCTTTCATCAGCAGCCAAGATCAGCAGGCGGTGGAGGGAGAAGTGGAGAACTGGGGGGTGTATGTTACAAAAGTAAAGCACCCATTTTTAAAAGCTGTTAATGCTCTTAAAATAGGACATTTTCTCCTGACATGGTGCATCTCTCTTGAAAAAGGACAGGGGAGTTTTAACAAGGAGGACATACCTGACTAATCACAGAATGGTTTAGGTTGGAAGGGGCCTTAAAGACTAGTTCCAACCCCCCTGTCATGGGCAGGGACACCTCCCACCAGCCCAGGTTGCTCCAAGCCACGCCCATCCTGGCCTTGAACACCTCCAGGGATGGGGCAGCCACAGCTTCTTTGGGCAACCTGCACCAGGGGCTCACCACCCTCAGTGTGAAAAGTTGACAAACACCAATTTGCAGTAAGATACTTGACCTCTATCCACTCAAACCTGGGAGAAAAAGCAGAGCAATTAAACTACTTATTTCAGGGTGTGGAGCGGGTAGCTCTGATCTAGGGCTACACAGCACAAGGATCAAGCTCCTGCCCTTTAAGGCACCTACACTTAGATTTCTGTGGGGTCACAGTGGGAAAGAACACAAGAAAGCTTGAAAAGTTGCAAAATTGGCTTAGTCAGAACCACAGAAAGGAAGGGCAACACAAAATGCAGCAAGTCACCTGGAAAAAACAATGCAACTCTGCATCAGCCGGGTAGAGACAGCACGTCCCGGCAGCTGCAGCAGGTGAGCAAGCGCAAACCATGCTCTAAGACCCACCACCCCCAAGCGTGGCCGCAGGGGGTTCACCGGGGGATGC